TCCCTCCTCTTGCTGCTACAATATCAGGAAATTTTCCACCTGCTAGTGCTCTAGAAATTTTCCCTCAAGTAGGTCCTCCAGCAGGAAAGATAAATAAATACATTTATGTACACTATTCATATAGTATATGTATACTATATACTATACATATATCTACACATACAACATACGTGTGTATAATTATACATACGTATAGTATATAGTATATGTATGTATATGTAGTATAAATGGGTTTTGAGATAATTACCCTTACGGTGAAAGTTCTTCCACCAACCCTGTCATTGGCTTCCAGCAACACCACATTCAAGCCTGACTCAGTCAGCAGTTTCGCTGCTGAGAGACCTAAAACATAAAAAGAAAAACAATTAAAGAATACTTCTGTATATGCACCCCATGGGTTTTGTGACTTGACATGTAAATGCTCACATAGCTATCCATAAAAATCCTGAATTTTTCATTCAAACACTTTGCCAGGGGGGTGAGGTGGAATTAAAAAACACAGTAATCATAAAATGGAACTGAAGCCACATATTTTACATGTGCTGAGCACCTTTTGCACCACATGCTCAGCTCTTCTGATACATAAGCCAGCAATTGTCATGATAGTCATCCAGCCAGGCACAGAACTTGGAGGACAGCTTTCTGTTTTCTAACATCAGCACGTCATCTTTTATAACCTCAACAAAAAAAGGAAGAAGTGAAGCTTTATTAGGACTGTCCTAAATTTCAAAAGTTTTCCTGAAGCTTGTTGTGTCTGCTTTCCAGCCATGAATGTTTTAAAGTACATTAGCAAAGCAAAGTTCCCACACAGTCAGGCCACGGGTTTCTTCTGAAGAACACATGGTCTGACTCAGAAGAGACAGAACGTGCGCTTGTGTGTGGCATCAAGAAGAAAAAAACATGGGTAAGTATACCCAAAAAAATTGTTTCATTCCTCATCCATTTTCTTCATAGACTTGTATTTCCATCTTCGAATTCTTGAAGCTGAGACACCAAGAGAGGGAACAATGGGAATACAGGAGGGAACATCTAATTTTAGTTCTGATGCCATAAATCCTCATAATTGCAGAGAAAATTGTTAGCACCAGGCCCTGCAGCAAGTATGTCAAGCCGCTATGGGAATGAAGGGAACTAGAAAGAGTGCACAACACAGAGGGAACACAGCCTGCAACCTCTCAACTTCTTAAGATCATCTCTGCCTTTTACTTCAGCACACAAACCGAGATTTGTATAAACTGAAGTTCTTACTTTGGCCACTACTGAGTGAATTTCTAGTGGGACGACAAGAGTTACATTCTAGAGGGTTGTATCATCCTCTTGAACCGATAGGATGCATTGAGTAAAGTTCAGCACAGACCAGGCTAGAAGCCACACTCATACATCATAATTTAGCTATCCTTTCTGACTCTCTGCCTTGTCACCACCAGAAGGCAATCAGTTTCCTCTCCGTGTCCTAGTACATGTAGTTTTTGAGAAGGAGTTGTCCAAGCAGACTGTTCCAAGCATAAGGCAGCCACGGAAGAAATGGCAAAAGCGCTGGCAGGAAAAAGAGACAGCCGGAGCTAGCATGGCAGGACTGAATGAAACAATAATGAAGAAAATATAGCAGCCCTGGACAGAGAAAGAATATTAATGAGAGCTACTAAAGGTGCTACAGAACATCATGATCATCAGCTAGTGGCTTGGGAGTAGGAGAACCAGGTCCTGTTCCCAGCACTGCAGTGAACCTGCTGCACTGTGCTGGTTAAATCACTTACGCTGTTTGTTTCCCCATCTGTAAAAAAAAAAAAGACAATGGAGTAGACCTATCTATCTAAAGGATTTGACATTTTCTGAAGAAAAGCAGCAGATGTTTCCATTAAAAGATCATACTGTCCTGCTTTTATTTCTAGCTTCATGAGCTTATTTATCTTGGGTTTTCACGTAAGTGTTAGTGAGAAAACCAGTAATGACACTGATTAAGGTCTTTCCATACTTCCTTATTGAGGAAATGATATTGCAAAAACATCTGGCTGGATCAGTGGCCTTGACTACACTCAGAAATATTTGAGGATACCAAGGAAGAACAAAATACAGTAAACAGTCATGGTATGCAAACACAGACCACCCCTTCAAACAACTTGCAAAAAAAGATTGACTCCTGAAGGAAAAAAAGGCAACAAAACTCCTAAATAAATATAGCTTACCAGTTAAAGGAAAAGGAAAAAAAGTTGCTCTTCAAAAAAGACAAATATTTCATCAGTTGGGAGAGGATCAATAGTAGTTATTAATTTACAGAATGAATACGTAATCTGAAGGCTGTTGTCACTGCAGGTTTCTGTCGGCTTATCATGCTACCAGGTATTGACTAATCAATTAATAATATTCAGTTACCAACATTGATTAAGGAATATGAGATTTTACTTTCTTTATTAAAATCTAATGAATAGACATTTCAGTACAGCTGGGAACAAAGGCAATTTATTCCCAAGAGCTGAACAGACAGAGAAGCTTGTGAAAGGATAGCTCTCTAGACTCAACTGAAACGCAGCCAATTCGCAGTGGTCAGCCCAGATACCACCTCCTTGTTTCCTTATGCACCTTTCATTCTCCCTATTACACCTACCTACTATTTACTCCCTACTATTTATTTCGGGGCAGTTGCCACCTTCTCCTTCTTCCTCCATACATTCACAGATGTACCTGTCAGAGATGGATAACAGTTTACTCTTTCCTGATGCAAATACAAAAAACCAAACTAGTGTTGAGGAGAGGATCGGGCTCATTAATACCTCGCTGCCCCACGCCCGCCCTCCAGCAGATCAGGTCTCTATAGGGGCAGGGATGAGTCCTTGGGGCTTGACTCTATGGTGAAAGTTGCAGCCTACAGGGTTCCCAAACTAAGCACCACCTGACCACTTACCCCTTTTCAAGGGCTGGTGGCCCACCCCCTTCTCTCACCTACATGACAGCTCTCTTCTGGCCCAAAGTCTTGCTGGGGAAATTATGCAGATAACTGCTGACAAAGGCGGGGAACACAGCCTACCTCTAGCTCCTCTCCCTCATCACTAACAGAGATGCCAAACACGTAACTGGGGGAAAAAGGTGGAAGAAGCGAAGGCAGAGGCTCGGGAGGGTCAGATGGCACAGCGAGGGACCGGACTGGGCCTCATAGCATGCACAGTACAGGATAAGGCAAGACTGCTGCCACTGTTACCACGTTACAGTGCAATATTGACAAGCAGGAATTTCGCTGCTTTTGGTATCTCACACATTTGGAATCACGGTACTGCCACATCACCCCGTACTTGTTCCCTGGAGCTGGACCCAAGATCCCAAATGGGCTCTTGGACTGTTACTATAATAACAGTAAGAGGACTGGATGCCGCAGAGGAAGAGCTCTGAGCCAAAGTGATACAAGGACAGATAAGGCACCAGGAACAGCAATAAAAACATATTAAAATGGAAATGAATACTAGCACATGAATATTGGGGCACGAGGTCGAGGTTTGCCTTTCAGAAACTAAGAATTGCTGCAGGAAACTCCTACAAACCACAACCTGTTTCCTGGGCAAGAGTCAGAGTGGCCTCTCCGTGCTTAATACACCAACTGCCACAAACAGAGCATGCACGAAGCCTGTGAAGCAAAGCCTGGAAAAATCTGTCATACATGATATAAGATCTCCTCTTGAGAAGTTTAACCCTTCACAAGTTTCACACATTTCAGCACTGCCTCTGGCTTACCTCTCACTCCCTCACACATCACTAACAAAAGGCAGATCTTTAATACTGTCCCTGTTGCTCACGAGTGAGGCAACCAACCACATTCAAATGTAAAGTTCATCCAAAAACATGACTGATGCTGTTGCTACTCCCATTTCATGCACAATGTTTTGTCACCCAGTGGCACCTTCTCCTCCTCCTCCCCAGGAGCATTTCAACAGAATGAGATCTGAATTGCAACATAAGGGCTCAACCACTTTTGCCACCACTTAGCAGAGGACAGTAATTCGGTCCAGTTTCCATTGCAGGTCAGCTTTCTTCAAGGGGCACCAGAGAGCCATATATACAGTGGAAAACATATGGTTAAGCAGCCTCACCTGCAGTTCTGCTCAGAGAATCAATAGGCAGATAATTAATGCAGACAACAAAGAAGCCAAGACGATAGGTCTTATTTGAAGCCCCAGACTGAAAATACCATTGTGCTTAGATGATGTTTAACCAGGCAAGCCTTCATCCGTTACCATAGCAACCCGGTACCCAATCGCAGCCTCTTGGAGATACTGGCGAGAGATTGCCTCCCCCAGAAATTTATAATGCAAGTTCAAGCCACGAAAATCGTTTCTCCATCGTGCAGCACGCTGCATTCACAAGGATCTTACTCAAATGTAATAATCTCAATAATTATCTCATCACCAGTTCCAACTTACTTCTTTCCTGTTTGAGATCTCTGTACCGGCTAAACATCTTAAATTGAACCATTCGATTAAACAGCTTCATTAGAACCTCACTTCCTAGCATTACCAGCTTTCTTATATTAAGAGAACAATTAATTTGGATTTTTTTTGTTGGTTTGGGGGGGTTTTGGGGGTTTTTTGTTTGTTTTTTTTTTTTTTAAAGAGAAAATCTTAAATTTCCGTGCTAGGGCAGAATCTAATCTTGCATTTGGATTGACAAATGTGACACGAGTCACATTTTTCATCTGACTCCCATGTATTATGGGCTACAATGAGTCAAACACATCTGATTATTTAAAAAAACATTTTAAAGTAAATTTTTAAAAAACTGATTGAAATTTTGTAACACCAGTCTGATTCTGCCTGGAATCAGCAAATTTACTGAAATACCCTTTTACCTTAGCATTTCCATAAAAATTTCACTAGAAAGGACACGATTGGAAGTTGCATCTCTGATACTTCCCTAAATGATACTTGTGCCATCTTCCATTTAGTTATTCTTTTTTATAGGATACCTCTGTCATACACTGGATAGCTAGACAACCAATACACATCAGCAAGCCCATCAGCAAGATTTTCTTTCTCCCTCGGGCTACACCCAATTCCCTTGCAGCGTACAAGGGAGAGGGCGGGTAACTTGGAGGGGGACAGATTATACAGCTGTAAATAAAGTTTCTTTCTGAAGGCATTCCCACAGTTCCTGATGTACCTTCTCTGTATCATTCACTACTTTATCATTTTCCCCTATGTTTATTATCTCCCTTCTAAGAACAAAAAAAAAATCTCTCATATATGCAATTATAAAAATCATCTACAAATTATAAATTTAAATTCATGTAGGGGGCAAAGAAAGAGCCTCTAAGCCACTGGCATTCATTTAATAGCTTCTAAGATGGCTGTCAAAAA